ATTTGTTGAAACTGTACTTTCGATTTGATTTGAAACTGTCTCATTGCTATATGTTTATCAATAAAACTTTGAAAAGAAAAAAAAAGATAGGGTATTTTTATACAGTGGAGTATTCATCTATAAAAGAAGATAAATTTGAAGCTTTTGTAGATAAATGGATGTAGCTGGAGACCAAATTGGTAAGTGAAATAAATCAGATCTGTATGTGCAAACATCGTATTATCTTGCTGGTGTGAGAACCTGAAAGAATAATTAAAATCTAAAAGGTACAACAGATACTGTGAAAGGGAAAGAATTTGTTCAATGGGAAGGAAAAACTGGGATGAGGAAAAGGACAAATGAAAGGAGGGAAAAAGACATATTTAGGTATATATAAAGAATAGTTTGAATAATTGTATTGTTGCTTTCTGCTGGTCTTTTGAAAGGAGCAAGCAGTTAATGCTTAAAATTCTTTTTTCTTTTTCTGATTTTCTTTTCCTCTTTGAATTTTTTATAACTTTTTGTTATTATTTTCTTTTCTTTAAATGAATCTTGCATGTTTATATCTGGTAATCTGAGCAACTAATTTAAAGATGGTATCATGTAATACAGCAACCATTGTTGAATTCCTATTACTTTGTTTAATGAAATCTTGTATTGTTTCTAATGCTGTTTTTTTTTCCATCTCTATTTTGTATTATTTAAAAATGAAAAAAATAATTGTCACAACAAAGTAATTCCTCCATATGCAATGTTCATATAGTTTCACAGATGAATCCTTTAAAACTTTTTAAGAAATAAATAGCTCTTCAGGTCTTTTTATTACTGGGTTTTTGGGTGCTCTCCTCTTGATTTCCAGGTTCTTCTCATCTGGAATAAAGAATTGAATAAGACTAGCAAAAATGGTGACAACCTTAATTTGAAAAGAATGATAAAGGATAAGGGATAAATTGGCTCTGCAGAGTGAACTTTGGAGCAAATGACAGGAAAATAAAAAATATATCCTGGAGGACCCAAGGCTGGCTATCATGAGAAAAGTTTACCCTAGTGTATTCTTCATGAAGTCTGTGTCTTTTTATCTCCTTCACCCTTGATAAGAACCCATGAGAATTCTACAAATGGGGCCTAGAGAGGCATTGCTCTGCATAGATTCTGGAATCACAGCCACAACTCCAGGCAGTCTGCACCATGCCTAAATAGAAATCCTTATCTCACTTCAACTGTTCCAGATAATCCTATAACAGTGAACACGTGTAGAGTCCAGATTTTGGGCTCTTAAGTACAATTTGTCACTCAAGAGAAGTCAGGCTTATAGTTAAAATACTTGATTTTAATTTGAGGTCAGGAATATTTTAAGGTGGACTTGTGTAGATGAGTTTGTGTCAAAAGATCCTAGGACTGCACAGGTGTGGTTGTGTATACCTGTAATCCCAGCACTTGAGAGGTTGAGGCAAGAGGATCCTTGCAAATTCAAGATCAGCCTGAGCTACAAAATAGCCTGAACTGCGTAGTGAGACCCTGTCTCAAAAAAAAAAAAAAAAAAAAAAATCTAGGATCTAGTTTGAAAAGGCTCCCATTGATCTTAGTTAAAAAATGAGATTGTCAAAGAATAAGTAGTAAACAACTTTTTTTTTCCAGTGTATTAAGTACA